CTAAGGAAAGGAATACAGAGATTTAAGTTATGCAACATTTCAAATCACACATGGTCACACATATTTTCATTCTAAATTCCAAGTTTCTTTTTAGCTAATGATTTCGAGCGAATTCATATCAAAATTGACTGCATATTAAAATGAATTTATATTGAAATTAAGACTGGTTTGCCACAGGCAACCCAGTAATGAATTTGTGCACCGCTGCAAATTGTGTTTGACCAAGCTAACCGTGAAAGGAATTCACCAAAATCGTCTGCCATTAAAGACTTTCTTTTAAGTCTTGACACATCCCACGCTTTAAATAATGGCATTATTTGAGAAGAAAAGAACAAAAGACGAATCTGTTTTTATTTTACCGCTCTACTAGCTCAGGAAAAGACGCAAGATGGCATGAAAAAACCATAGTCTAGTGTGAAAATCCGCTGACCAAATGTAGAACAAATCCCGTGGGTATGTCCCTGTGGTCCAGCGAATCCATTCCCAAAGTGAAACAACGCCCCTCCTCCGCGGGGAAAAACCAAAAACAAAACTCTACCATTCCCCCCTGTGTTCGAAAATAGCACTTCTTTCGCTCTGCGTGGTTATTTCTTACTGGTGGGGGAAAAAACGGGCTAAATTCAAAAAATAACCACGCAGAGCGAAAGAAGTGCTATTTTTCAATGATCGGGTAAAATTTCGAGGCTTTATTTCACGTTTCAATGATTTTATTGAAATGTTTGATGAATCCCCATACATTTCCTTATAACAGGACACCACAGAAACCAAGCTTGGGCAACCTGTGATAAAAATTACGTATTAGATTTGATAAATCAATGACTTAACATTTTTTTCCCCTTTTTTTAGGATATCCATGCTCTTCTTCGCTGGTATTTTAATATTTGGAGGAAAATAACTTTGTAGTAAAATCGGGAAAAAAATATTTCAAAAATATTTTGAAGTGGGATTCCTGCGCTATACCCATAATGCTTTTGGTCCTAACAGGGCGGTTCCGTATATTTTCCAAAAGGACTTGATGCAAACTTTTTCTTCAGACAGTTCTATCATCTTTTCATTATGTAGGCGCTAAAATTATGACGTAAATATGTTCTGAATAGTAAATGTCTTCATTCAGCTTGCAGGAAATCATCGTATCTTGGAATGAAAGCTGAAAAAATGGGTTAAATTGGTTGGAGAGTGAAGACGGTAAAGAGCTAATGGCGTCATTTCTTTTCGATTCGAGGAAGAAGCATAGTTGGAAGAATGCACCAAAGAAAACCAAGAAACACGAATGTGAAGAGAGTGAAGAAGAAATTTATTCGATATGCGATTAGATTTTAATCGTATGGCTCAAGACTTACGTTGTTAGTATGGCTCACCAACGACAGAAAGGACGAAACCCCAAGCCAATTAATATCGCGGCTGAACTAGCTAACTCCTTGCTAAATGTTGTGAGGCACAACAAAAGACGAAGAGCCCTCGAATTAATTAAGAAAGGAGCTGATGTGAACTTCACTTTTCGTAATGGAAAGACCTTATTACTCAGTGCCATTTTCCGCAACAGTCATATCGTTTCTGTTTTAATCGATGCTGGTGCTGATGTCAATGCAACTGATGATGGCGGCAAGACAGCTTTGATGTATTGTGCTGAACATGCACCTGACAACGAGGGAAGATATTCAATGCAGAGTAGTTCGTATTATCAGAAATTGGTTACTCAATTAATACAGAAAAAAGCAGATGTGAATATGACAGATAATAATGGCAAAACAGCTTTGATATATGCTCTTCAAAGCAACAATGAAATTGTGGCTGGTGAATTAATAAAAGCTGGGGCAGACCTCAAAGTCAGTGATAATCAGGGTATGACTGCTCTGATGTATGCTGTTCAATCATGTGAGACAAGGCTAGTTGCTAAACTACTAGATGCTGGTGCTGATGTCAACATAACTGATAATGAAGGCAAAACCGTGCTGATGTACAGTGTCAGCAAATGTAAACTTCAAAAGGTTAAATACAAGTCAAGACAGAGTGGCTACAAGGCAGTTGACACCAGTGATGTAAAAAATATGACTCCTTCCTTACTTATGGCTGGTGCTGATTTGGGGATCACAGATAATCAGGGTAGGACTGCTTTGATGTATGCTGTGCAACATGGGCCCAGTGCAGTTGAGGAATTAGTAAAGGCTGGTGCTGATGTGAATGTAATTGATAATGAAGGCAAGACTGCTCTAATGCATCATGCTCTACAAGGCACTAAGAAAAAAGTGCACTGGATTTACCATCATGAAGAGTTTGATACTAAAGACAGAGTTGCTCTTCTATTGATTACAGCAGGTGCTGACATTAATGTTACAGATCATCAAGGCAAAACTTCCTTGAACTATTCCGTTGAATGTAACAAAAAGGATTTGGCATGTGCATTAATTAATGCTGGTGCTGATATTAACGTTGTTGACAATCATGCCAAAACTTCATTGTTCTTACATTCCTCAAGAATTGGCAATAAAGGTGCAGTTCAACAGTTAGTTAAAACTGGTGTTGATATCAATGTCACTGATGAAAGTAGAAAAAGTGCTTTGATTTATGCTGTGGAAAATGAGAATTATCATGTAGTACAAGAAATACTTGATGCTGGTGCAGATGTCAACATAACTGATTATGAAAGAAAAAGTGCTTTGATGTATGCTTTGGAAAATAATGATAAACAGCTGGTACATGCAAT